ACTCATCCACTTTGAGCCTGTGGATTGTGAGTGCTCACAGGAGCTAGGAAAGCCTGAGGCAGCAACTTACCCCTTAACATCATGAAACCAAGTCTCCTGCTCCTTCCTGGGTCCTGGTAGCCTTTTTTTTGGTAGTAGAAACTGTATTCCCAGAGAGAGTCGTTAATTTGGATATCACTCAATTATATAAATCCGGAAATAATATAATCAGAGAAAATAGAAGTACAAATAATTCAATATAAATTCTTTTTTTCCTGCTCTCCGGTCTTGTGTTTATTACAGCCATTCAATTTTAGCATCGAACTGTTTACTGACTACAAAATATCAAAAGATCAAGTGGTATTTCTTAAATATGTACAAATTTTGTTTGTTAATAGGACCCTGTATATAGCCAGGGGAAAAATATCACAGAACCAGGCACCAAAAAAGATCCTATTTGGCTTTAGCAAACTGGACACAGTCAGGTTACACTGCATACAGCCTGTTTTATGCATCCCTCATAGAACGCATCAGAAGAACATCACTATTCTGCCCTAGCCCGTGTTAGTGTACCTTGTAGCCCTAGACTAAGTCTAGATTACCCTTCTCTAATGACACTGCGTGAGACTGTTTTTAATTAGAGTCGTGTGTCATATCACCACGTTTCAGTCAAGGATGGATACCATATAGGACGGTGATCCTGTAAGATTAGAATACCATTATCTTTGCTATACTTTACAGATACACTGAGATGTGCCAGTACCCACCATTGTGTTACACTTGCCCGCAGTATTTAGTGCAGTAATATATTATGCAGGTTGCAGCCAAGTAATGAGGGGTGGTGCCATGCATGGAGCCTAGGTGTGCAGTAGGCTACACTACCTGGGTTTGTGCAGGTGCATTGTGGGACGGCCTCACAATGACAAAATCAACTAATGACACATTTCTCAAACCATACCCCTGTTGTTAAGTGATGCACGGTTGTATTTTATCTTTAGTTTTTGTTTGCCTAATGGAAAAACACTGGTAAATTTTCCTTCTGCCATTAATATTTACAAAATACTACATGTGCTATTTAATGGAAAATAAGATAAATAATAAAAGTAACTTATTCTTGTTACAGTAAGTCAATACTGAACACAGGTGGAATTTAACCTCAGAGAGAAAAATTCATAGGTGAAAAAATGAATAAGGAAATAAATTATGGTTTGTGTGTATGTGTATATATATATGTACGTGTGTGTATATACATACACATACACACATATATATACATAATAATTTCAAAGATTTAAGGTAATAATTTCAAAGGTAATAACTTCAAAGATTTAAGTAGTCACCAATATCAATGTCAATGAACCCGCCACACACACACATATATATACATATACATATATGTATATATGTATATATATGAAATGCTGGCCAGGTATTAAAATTATAATGAGTGTGAGTATCTGATAACTTGGGAAAATAATCATGAAAAATAAATGTTAAAATATTAGCTCACCTTTAAAAAATCTAAATTTGCATGTAAATACTAGTAGGAAATAAACTTAAACGAGTTTTCTCCCCCTCAAGTAGTGTATTCTTTAATTTTTTTTTTTACTATTTTCACGTGTTTTTCAAATTCTTAGAATGAAAAGTCTTACTTTTGTAATCATACAAATATTAATAGGTTTTGAGGCAGCCAGTAGTACCATCATGATAACAAAAACTACAGGTTGAAATGGAATCACCGAAATTTACAAACGTCTGATTTCTTACTAGAGATAAATATCACTTCAGTGAATAAAGTAGATTTAAAAAGGATAAAATAGGTAAAATCTGATGAAGTAGGTAAAAAACTGGGCCTGCTACTATGAAAAAAAAAAACATGTTCATCTACACTGTGTATGGTTTGAATTTATATTTACTGTGTTTCCCTGAAAGTAAGACCTACCCAAAAAATAAGCCCTAGCAGGATTTCTGTGCATTTGTTAAATATAAGCCCTACCACATAATAAGACCTAGTGATGGGCGTGGCTCTGCATTTCAGCGCAGAGCGGTAAGGAAGACTGGAATACCTTTTATCTGCCACAGCTCCTTTCTCTGAGCTGTTCACATTTACGTGGATGTGCGTGTGGTAATTGCAATCACAGGCATCCTATTGTGCATGTGTGAACAGCTAGGGGAAAGGAGTTCACACATCACTAGAGCCAGCCCCACCAACAAGGTCGGGTCCCCCTGTCAGGTTCCAGAAGAAGATGACTTCACTGTATTTGAATAAATGTAGATTGTTGTATTATACTTAATGAAAATAAGACATCCCCTGATAATAAGCCCTAGTGTGTCTTCTTGAGAAAAAATAAATATAAGACAGTGTCTTATTTTCAGGGAAACATGGTAACTGATGGGAGAAGCAATAGTTGTGTCGGTCTAAGTTAACTTCAGTTGAAAATTGATATTTCCATGAGATGCTTAGATGCTTCCTGCCACTAGAAATTTACTGTGTCTAAAGTCAGTGTGATCATGTCTGGAATAGACCTCGTAGTATCTCAGTCAATGAATATGAGCGCAGCTCTAATGAAGAAAGCTGAGCAGTGCTGTGCAATTCAATTGAACTAAGACCACATTAGATGGATAGAGACGGGGCTGGAGATTAATGGAAGTTATGCCATTCCTGTGCCAGTAGGTTGACCTTAAAGAATTTGTAGGTCAGAGATTAATGAAGGGGAATATTTTCTAATTGTAAATAATTGCATAAATACAGTAGCTAGTAATTTAGAGGAAATGTAGGTTATATTGTTATAAATATTCACTACCAGAATAAGCAATCTAAAATTTTAAAAGTTATGTTATTAATTTTTTTTTTTTTTTACTTAATTCATTAGCACTAAGAAGCCATTGAGGCTTTTTTTTTTTTCTTTTTTGCAGTTTTTGGCTGGGGCTGGGTTTGAACCTACCACCTCTGGCATATGGGGCCAGCGCCATACTCCTTTGAGCCACAGGCACCGCCCAGCCATTGAGGCTTTTAGAGTAGTAGAATGATCAGAACTACCCTTTGGGAAGGACAGTCTGGCAGCAAAAGTGGGATTGGTAAGAGCAGGAGAGGTAAGAGGCCACAGCAGGTGTTCTGAAGCCACAGCAGCAACCCAGAGTGTGTGCTGCCCAGATATTCCTGAACCTGGCTGGGTAGGGCGTGCTTTCTGAGGTCTGAGGACAGACACCAACATATAACAACATAGTCCCTAACGCTAATGAACTTAGAGGTACAGGGGAGTGGACACATAACACACAGAGCTGATGCCACAAAAAGCTGTAACGTGAGTCAGTGGAGACACCTAGCAAGTTCTGGGAATGGAGAGAGGATGTAAATACAGGATGTGGGAGGCACGGAAGAGAGAAAGTCCCCGGGACTTGGCCACAGCTAGTAGAACGAAGGGGCCCAACGTGGCTCTGACATTTTAACTCCGAGTAATTGGAACATTGTTGGTGACACTAACAAGAACAGCGTATTTCAGAGAAAGAGTTTTGAGAAGACGTTGTTAAATTGGGGCAGGTATTTACTGAAGTATAGATACTGGCAAGTCATTCAGCTGGGAAATCCAGCAGACAGTTGGAAATAGGAACATCCGAGGCTGATGGAGAGACTAAGGCAGGAAATGACATTTGGGGGGATTATATGTACTTATGTAACGCTCAAATCTCTGAAGGTGGATGAAACTGCAGGTGAGTGGAGAGAGAAACACAAAGTTCTGAATACCAGCATGGGGAGAATTACCACCTTTGGAGGGCTTTCCAAAGGGAGTCTTTGAAGAACACAGACAATGATTAATTAGAAAAGGAAAAAATATCACTGTAAAATAAAATCCGGGGGTGGGACAGGTAATAATTTCAAAGATTTAAGTAGTCACCAATGTCAAGTGCCACAAAGAGCTGTCCAAGGAGTAGAGAGAAAAGTTATTAGATTAGTGGATTGGAGGCGTTGGTGAACTTCAAGGGATTGTCCCAGTGCAAGGCAGTGAATAAAGGCTGAAGACTGGTAGGTGCATGATGGGTTCTGAAGATTGTTGGTAATGACGCGAAACAGAGAAAGGAAGCAATGTTATTATGGGAAATACTTTTTAGAGAAAGCAAAGGCCAGAGTTTATAACAATCAAACCTTATGTTCCATATAGAAACTATGCTCTGAAATTGGCTTGCACAGGAGTGGAAAGAGATACGTCTGATTGGTCTTTTTTGAGGGTCTAGCCTTCTATACATAGATTTCTCTTCGTGTGGTTAGGAAGTAAGTAAGTCATTTCCCCTGACACATTCACAGGCATTTAATATAATCCGACAGAATGGGATACAGAGAAGTTCCTTTTCCTTTTATAGCAAAACATGGTAGGTCTGGGTTAATTGGGTTAAAACACAATCCTCGCATTATAAATTCAGCATCGTCAAGAATATCTCAGAACGTTTCGCCCTGGACACTAGAGTGGAGTAGGTGAAAGTAACACTTAAAATAGATTGGAGTACAGGGCTCTGAAATGTATATAATTCTAAACATAATCCCGTCTGTCTCAAAAGATAGTCCCTGTTTAGTTAGCAGGCGCAAGTTTCAACCATTAAACTCAGTAGATGAGGGCACCTGAAATAAATAGGTCATATTTTATTGTCTTTATTTTTAAAAAATGATGTACGTCCAAACATATATTTCTAACAGCTGTTTGAATAGATCATTGTTTTAAAAGTTCTCACTCTGGTATTTCCCAAAACCTCAGGTTCACTCAGGCATTTGTGAGTGAGTAGTTTCTTGGAAAAGCTATCATATGCCCTATATAATTAATTTCCATTGCTAACTTAATCCACATTGTTACAGGAGTGAGGTGCCTTCACGGAGGATGGCAAAACTTACTGTATAAGAGATCAATCTCACAAAGGTGACAGTCTCTGTTCAGCTTCGTCCAATCATTGCCCTCATTTTACCCCATAGCTAGTCTGAATCTCCAGAATATGTGGTGAGCTGTACATGTGTGTCCTGCTGGTCATGGGAGAGCCCTACAAGGGGGTGTGGGCAGTGAGGATGTAGACAGCCTTCTCATTACTAGGAAAACCAGGCTGAGTGTGGGTGGTGCTTCATGTGGTTAGGAAGCAAGGAGGTCATTTTCCCTGACAAGTTACAAGGGGATCTTAAGGTTATCATTTTGGTAAACTTTTGGATATGAAGAACCTGTGATCTCTGAGAGCTCAGAAAAGCGATGTGAAAATCAAGTCAGTTGTAATCTGGGAAGTTACATACAAGGGTAGAGATTGGCAACAGCTGGGAGAAGACCTCTTCTGGCTTGAGTTGGGAGTAGCACAGGAGTGCTGGGTGTCAGAAAAGTCTCCTAGGAGTAGCACAGCCAGAGCTGGACCCTGATGGGTGGACAGGAGGCAGTGGAGCGTGGAGGGAGGGAAGGCTGCTCTGAAATAAAGGGACCTGCCAGGAGCCCACCCCACTGAGACTTGGTGAAAAGATAGGACAGTAAGTAGCAGGGATGTCTCAGGTTCTGGTTCTCATCTGAGAGTTGGTGCGTAACAGAGCCTTAATCCTGAATGCAAGGTTATTGCAATCTGCCGTTGGTAATTACCGTGAAAGATACAAAGACGCAGGATCTTGCTCTAGAGGAGATAAGAAGCATGCATTAATAGCCTTGCAAGCCATCACCTCTGTAATGTTGGACTCTTGAGCGACCATCAGTTCCTACTTTGCTGGGTTTTAATTTACTGGATGTTTGGTTACAGAAAAGGAATATGATCAAGGTCGGGGAAGAAGGGAATTGCAAATAATAAATCATACTAAAACTTAAAGTTAAAATGTATGCCCAGAATACCATATGTCTGTTGTAAAATAAGGTCCATACATTTTTAAAATAAAACATGATTTGGGTGGTGCCCACATTTGGGCAGGTAAAATTAAATTTTCTTTTCCTGTGGTTTTTCAGTAGTTATATTCTTTGGGGGTTCGTATAGATTGCTTTATATTAATTAGCTTTGCTTTCAATTTTTTTTTTTGGTTTCTTATAATATGTGCTTTTTTAACCATGTTTGTTAAAGATATGCACTCGAAAACTCTTTCTTTAATACCTTTACTCCACATTCTGCTCAGAAAATCAATTCTTTCCGCGTGACATCATGTTGCTTTTTTCTGGCTCATATATCAGCTGTTTTTTTTCTTTTTT